ATTTCATGAAGAGAATGTCAAGAGCCATAAATCTGATGCATCATTAAACATCTTTGGGAGTGAGTTCTCTGTATTCTGTGTTTTAATCTGGTGAAAAGCAAACTTCAGTGAGTGGACATGTGGCTTTGTCCTATTTGAACACAAAGTTTTCATCTGGCAGAGATGCCTCATTGAGTGGGTCCATCAAAATGTGTGAATTTGCCTTACTCTGAAGTATTCACGGTAGAAATGCATATGATTGTAAAGGACTGAGACGAAAGAGGACATGGCCTATGTGGTAGTTAGGTGGTATGGCCATTTGTACAAACCCAAGTAAGTTGTGGCAGCTGGGGCAGGATGGTGGGAAGGGGAAAGCAGAGAGCGATGGAGCGAGGGTGGAGGTGCGGTAGTATGCAGTGGAGGAAGGTGGTGGTGGCGTGTGGTGTGGACACGGAGGAAAGAGCTGCTCAACAGCCTGACACCAGGGCTGTGCTGGGTGAGTGGGAGATGGAGAAATGAGCACAAAGCTTTGAAATGGGGGATGAAGCAGCAGGGTTGCCCAGAGGGAGCCAACTTCTATGGAGTGTCTTTGTGACATTTGGCTGCAGCCTGGAGCTTTTAGGGCTGCTTTTAGTGTGGAAGCTGCTGCTCCACATGCATTTCCCCTGAGCCCCACGGAAGGGATTTCGGGTTGACAGTCCCTGCGTGCAGGGAAAGGAGAATACGCTGGGGTTTCCTGGGCTACTAACCTTTCGCCGGGGCTGTTAACGCGGGAGAAGTGCTCAAGTTTGCCGCTCTTCTGCCCCCAATCCGGTGTTTTTACGGCTTCCCCAGATCTGACACCCCCTCCCCCGATTGCCTGCGTCTGACTCATTCGCGGGTGTTTGTGGAAGCAGAACGGGGCGGGGGAGTTCTAAGAAGCTGAGAGGAGCGCAGGGGCTCCAGGGCCGCCGTCCTGGGGAACTGCTGCAGCGATATTGCAATTGCCCTTTAAACAGCATAAAAACAGGTATATATAAAAAAAGATGAAGACTCTTAACTGCCTCCTGCCAAAAGTAAAGAGCAAATCTCAGTTGCGATGGCTCTGCTAAAACTTGATCATGCAGGATTTCAAGCGACAAAGAGCTGCGGGGCTTGTATTTACTGCGATGGGAACAAGTTGCAGGATGAAATCCAGGCATTAAGGGACCTATTTTCCACTTCGTTGTTTGCAAAGGAATCTACTGAAATGACTTTGAGGATCTTAAAACTGGAACTATGTGGAGGGAGAATGCAGTAAGTACTGCCTTTCTGGCGAGCCCTAATACGCGCCCAGGAGTTGGGATGGGGCTGGGGGCACCGGGCGCCGCGCAGGAGCGTCCGCCTTCCCGGCTCTCCCGCCTTGGTGCTTGGCTCTTAGTTTCTAGTCGGCACCGAGGACCGGTTCGGGAATGCCGGTTGCCTTTGCCTGACGCGCCACCGTCCTACATTTAACTGGGGTTGCTTGAAGAAGTATCTTTATACATATTTAGTGGAAATAGTGAATGAAAAATCAAAGACACCCGAGCTTTTCGTGGAGGGATCTGCTAGAGTGTGTCTCCCTGGGTTTATGAGAAATTGAGACTGAATCTGTGCCATTACAAGATCAAAAAGAGCTTTATCCCACACCGATTTAGCTGTTTTCCAGGTTTTGCTTGTTTTGAACCTGTCAAGAAAATGTGCATTAGTTTGCTTCTGGCTGCTCTTCCCCGGTTGGATGTCGCTTCCCTTAGGGCTCAGACCCGTGCATTTCTCTTGGAAGCAAACGGGCAGTTGGGAGCCCAGGATTTTCCCGACCTGGGGAGGACGAGGGACGTTTCCGGACGGCTGCGGGCTCACGGGCGCTGCTGTTAGGAAAGAGCTTACATTTATTTCTAAGTGAAGGGGGCGGGGGGAAGTTTTGAGACCAGTCTCTTTATTTCGGTTCACATGCCACATGAGATTGAAATACATGTATTTATTCCCCTCCCCCCCCTCCT